AAAAAAAAAAAATACGTTTCAACTTCTCTTTTTTAAACACTGCAAATTGAATCTTTCGATTATATCTTTTTCTATATGAAATTTCCTGATAAATGTACGAAGTCTGCAATCTATAAATAATAAATCAAAATTGAATCGACGTAATGAACTAAAATATTTTTTACTAAACTCGTTCACTCTCAAGATTGTTAAAAAAAAAGAAACGTATACAATAAACCGGGAACGATTCCTTTGAGGAATTACGTATCGATTTGAAGAATTGACTCTTTTGTTCTATTCGCTACGGCATTAAGGAATAAACGTATGCAGGTTATAAAAGGACAAAAGCGAAGTGCAGCGAGGAGGGAAGAGCCGGCGACCCGGTAGCGCCGATATTCCAGACATCGGAAAGTCAATACGACTGCCACCAGGCAGGAAATTTCGATTGCAGAGTAGGTCCAGAGCCGTTGCGAGCCGTGGACTTTTTGTAGTGGCACGAAACGAAAGGAAGGAAGCGGCGATCATAGAAATAAATAGAAAGAAAATATCCGCGGAATACTGTGTATGCAAGTTGGCTAAGAGGACGACACAACGACAAGGAAGAAGAAGTAAAAGGAGTGGAGTAGGAGGAGGAGGAGGAGGAGGAGGAGGAGGAGGAGGAGAAGAAGGAAGATCGGGGCACGAAAAGGAAGAGCGAGGAGCCTTGCAAGGGTAGGAGAGGTGGAGGAGGTGGAGGAAGAACTCGATACCGGGGCGAAAGATAGACGAAGAGAGGAACGGAGAATAATACAAGAAGGAGGAGTGGAACGAGGGGGGATGGGGTGAGGCGGGGGGGCACCGGGAGTGTATAGAGGTATATGAGAAAACAATAGAGCTGATTTGCAAACAATAGAATAACGTTAAGAGTCGAGTATTATACGCCGTTGTTACTTCTTGTGCCATAACGCCGGAGAGCATATGCCTATTAATATTCAAAGGCGAAAATAATGTAAACGACACGACAAAAATCGGGGGAATAATTTCAATTCTCCCCGTATGGGATTCCAACCCGTGCCGTGCCGTGGCCCGATACGAACCGAGCCCTCCCGGGCCATTTCGTGTCTCCTCTCCTCGTCCCTTCCGCGGGCTTTTACATGCCCGTTTATACACGTATTTAGCTCGGTCGCTCGTACGTACGTACGTACGTACGTACGTGCGGTTAAGGTTACTGTACCGGTCCCATTGCGAAACACACCGTGCCCATCGTTTCTCGCGAATTTCCCTCCATTGACTTCTCGCGAATCATTTGAATCGAATACTACCAACCCAGGCTTTACTCATACGATTCTCTGCCGAAGCAATTCATTAAAAAGAATCGCAATTCCCAAAAGTGAAAGAATTCACGAATTACTCCTAATAAATAATTTGCAGAGAGCACAAATGTGTTTGTATAATGATTTATCGTACAAAATGGTTTGTCTAGAGATTCGTTAACCAAGGTATGAGATTTTCTCGAAAGGAACACCTAAAATAAAAAAATTGCCATATTTTTGAACTTATCTCTTGATGTACGATTACCCCTTCCATGGTTGTACCGTAACCCAACATAACTTAATTTAATTTAACTGAGACACCCTATATAAGATAGAGGAATTGTATATTTCACGCGAGATCGCATCATCTCCATTTAATTTGCATAACAATATTTAATATAAAAGACAAAAGCTCGGTTTCTCAATCCCAGGTGTGGCGCGGAGCGACGATCACTCTACACGCAACAGGGATTCCATACTACTGGAATCTAACGCGGCATGTGAGACGTTTATCGAATATGTAGGGTGTGTCGAAGAATGGCGTAGAATGTTAATTGTTCGTTTTAGAAAGTTTAATACCCGGTGTCCTGACGCGACGAGCGAATCGAGCCGAAACCATACGAGCTTCACCCGAACCGAGGCGACAATTATTATTTTTGTAGCTCCGGGAATTCCGCGTTTTATTAACCATTGTGAAGGAAAAATGCCGGACCAATCGCGAGTCCGTGTTCTATCGGTTTTATGAACAGTTCCAAGGATAACCGGTTTAAACCGATCGGTTCTTAAGCAATTGTTATCTAATCGGGACTACGTGATAAGGTGGCTTGCAAACCTCGTTTAGAAATTTTGCGAGGAAATTATCTCGATTTTTCCCATTCACACAGGCTTCTTATTTTCTGTGGTGAGACCGTCGGAGCCGATTTGTTCGGAAAAATTGGTATTGCGAAATACGAGGGGAAGGGATTTGTCAATTGTCCTCGATTATTTTACGGGAACACGTCTAAACGAATTAGGGTCAAGAATCAGGGTCCAGATTACGGGCAATGCGTATCGAGAGACGAATTATTGGCCCCAGGCACTAGTAGCTCCGTGGTTCCAGGAACCCCTGAATTATTCTAACGCGCGTATTTCCCGCTGGAAAGAGACTTTACGAGCCTTCACTCATCACCACCGGAGCCATCAAAACCGAACACCCGACGCGATGATTCACAACCATCTGCGTACTATTATTTTTCAACTGTCATTATTCCTTTCAATTATTTTTAGATTGATTCAAAACTATTTCTGGTTTCACTGGAAAACCTTCCTGGAAGAATTCTTAAGAGAATGGGAAAGAAGAACGACTTCTTGATGGAAACATCCTCCGGAGATTCGCTGAACGGGAAGGGAAAATGAACGAGAATTGGGTGACGACGGAAACGATTTCGCGTGGCGTTAACGCATCGTCAGATGTTGTTCTTGGACCGCGTTCAATTTTTCAGAACAACCGCGATGATTTCGGCCTCCATTCATCAGTGAAGTCAATCGAAAATAACAGGACACAATGTATGTTACAATTAGCATTCGCTAATGATCATCTTCGTTTATGGAAACAGTTATCAAAGGATATAATTTAAAGAGACCTAATCTAATTAATTATTTACTCAAACTGAGTTAACTACTACCTCCAGGCTGTAGACATGTCCGAAACCTAATACTGAAGCTTGTGTTTACAGTGATTCACGAAATTATTCGACTATCTTTCAAAACTAAATAATTTTTTAGAAATTGGACCAAGCAATATAATTTAGGATAGCAGGACGCTAGAAGATTTTACTATGGAATATGTAAAAAGAATTTGTCACATATTTTCATTGCTTGAAATTGCGAAGGAATAAATGTTTCTGAATTTTGTTTATTATGGAATCACCAATAACAATTTTGTAATTAGACTTAAGAGAAAATATAGTAAACTAAGTCTTCCAGTATTTCACAGAAAACTATGTTTTTTAGCCCAATATTAAAAATTAAATTGTTCAGTTTTAGATATTCGAATCCATTCTTTCTTCAACCATAGTTTTTATGTATTTAGCAGTATTAGACATGCGATGGTATTCTGTACACAATGCAGCTGAATAAATCCATAAGAATGTGATGAGTTTAAAATGAGGAAAAAAGAAGAAAGCGAAACTATCACGTCTGATCTTTCGAAATAATAAGAGGTAGCGTTTCCTGTAACAAGGGAAACGGCAATCAGCGAGGGAATTCAATTAAGGACGACTTCCAAAATTTCGTACAAGACTGCACGGTGAATTAGCCGTCACGTCGCGTCGCCAGCCACCAATAAATTGAGATAATTACTTTCATATAATTGGCACACGCGCGGGCACCGAGGAGGAGCGTGGTCGCTGGCGTTGATCGTTAAAGTGGAAACAAGTTGAACGAAATCCAACCGTTCCTCGGGTCCGCGTGTAGCAGATGCTCGGGGCATGTTGACAATCCGGTGTCACGTCATCATCAACGGGTCCGGCGAGGCGCGCGGCGTGTCCGCGGGCGCTGTTATAATCGATCTACGTCTCCGAGTCACGGTTTAAGCTCGATTCACAGTGCCAAATACGAGGAAATTAATTTCAACAGATCAACTTTAATCAGGAATTGTAACATTCACACATTATGTATGTATAATCAAAATCTTAGGATATACATTGCTGGAAGTAGTTCCCATGTGCGTCGAAAGTGTAGATAAACCCATAAGAAGAGATACAGTTCATCTAGATGCTGTCTTTTTCCACTGCAAGGAATTCTCTATGAAATTGCTTCAAAATTCTGATGCCAGTAGATTTAATGTTAAAAAAATATAGTCTTTACTTAACATGATAAAACTGTACCATGAAGGAAGGAAGGAAGACAATTCCTTATAATATAAACTAATACAATTATAATTTTTCCCTCAAAATATTGCACGTACCTCTGATTTAAAAAACTCCTTAAAAAAAATTTTTGTCTCAATACTATGAATTTTGATTTCAAGTAAAAATGGCGAAACGAAAATTGTTCTGCCATATTAAACTTTAACAAACAAAACTATATCATTTGTTATATTGTTAAATCTTTAATTAGTATTTAAGCTGGTACCAAAGTGAAGTGACAGTATTAAATTACGTTCAAATGTAAAAAATAGAAATATAGTATAAACTATCGACAGCTTCAGTCTTAATAAAAGAATTGAATAACGTAAGCACGAATGATTTTTGTTTTGAATTACTGAAGTCGAGAATTAAAATATTAACTAATGCTCACTAAATTTAACGAAGCTGAATTGCTCTTTTTGTCGCGCGGGTTCCTCTCAGGGAGAATAGCGCGAGGGAAAAGGAGGAAAACAATCAATTTCCGTCGAGCATACGAAACGGCGAAATGAAACGTAACGAAAGGGGCGAAGTCCCGTCTATAGCAGCTAATTAATTCGTTGGACTGACTCACCCTCGACTCCTCGGGCTCCTCCCGCCTCACGTTCTGGAAAAGAACGCTGCCCATTTGGACCTGTAGATTCTGTTGCAGCAACTGCGCCAACTGGGGGTTCTGCGAGAGGATTGCTGGGTTCTGTTGCAGCAATTGCGCCAGTGCCGGATTCTGGACCAAAATCTGGCTCAGGGGCGAGTTTGGGATCGCCTGAGCATTTGACTGCTGTGGCTGCTGTTGTTGGTGATGCTGATTGGATTCTTGCTGCTGCTGCTGTTGCTGAAGACTCGGAGAATTGGCGTTGGACGTTTGACAGGACTGCGACAGGTTTCCGGGAGGCGGATTGTGCCGCGGTGGACTCTGGGGGGTGTGCGGCGGCGTCGGCGGGCTCCCCGGAGCCATCGACGAAGCATCCTTCTCCTCTTTCACTTTCACCTTCCCTGCAACAAACAGTTGCCCCATTGCTTTCACAAAAGTTCACAGAATCGATAATAATCTGCTACGAATTTCATAAATCAACTGCTTCCCTTTGGAAAGGAATTAGTTTAAAACATCAATTCATTTGTGTAACGAAAATTTAATAAAATGAAATAAAATAACAGGAATTGTAAGAACAGATGATTTGTTCGTTGGTGGATCTCTCAAACATTCCAAGAGAACTCTAATCTCAATATCTCTGATCCTTAGTCCTAGTGTAATAATAAAAAATCGTAGAAAGTATAAAATTAAATATAATAATAAAAAAAAATTGGTCTCCCAAGATTTCAAATTTCCCTCTATCACCTATCTCTTCAACTAGCTACCACTGACACCTCGAAGAGACTGAATGCGAGAGCTTGAACTTTCCAAGATTTTGGAAATGTTGCAAAAGTGGGGACGCGTGGCTGCTTCGATTGGTCGGAAACCGGAAGACGGGTCGACGAATGGAAACGCGTCGACTTTCGTCGTGGTAAAAAAAACTGACTCGGGGATAGAAAGAAGCCGCTTGTTGCTTTTTGTCCCGTTCCGGGGCCGGGAATCGTGAAATTGAGACGTCCCGGAGGTGAAGTGAAAAAGCCGCAATCGACGGAGCCGAGCAAATCTCCAATAGAAAAACCGATTACTTTATAAATTATTTTAATCAACCAAAAGAAGATTTATAATAAAATCTATTGAAAATTGTAGTAGAGAAATTTATTTACAAAAGAGAATTTTTATAATACATTCATGAAAACCAGAATTATTTTGTTGCCAATCTAAAAAGTCAAATCAAATAATTGAGGATTAATTTTTCATTAAAATAACGCGATTATTTGAAATAACATTTTAATTCATTTAATTTATTTAACGCTGATATTTAGACTGCAGATTTTATGGATTTATAAAAAGATTGTATGTGCAGAAAAGCATTTAGATTTCATTTTCTACACTGACAATACAAATGTTTTATTAGTAGCCCACTGATATTCGAGAATAATTGGAAACCAATTTTCCGTGAGAGTATTAATTCTTTCCATATTAGGGAACCAGTTTTTCCACGAGTCTTAAAACCACGAGGCAGTTGCGCGAGACGCATCCCCTGTTTTATCTCGAGAAAGGAGAAGACAAACGAACGGGGCGCATCCCGAGGCTCGAGACCGGTGCGCGGGGAACGTTTAATACCCCCCGGGTGCGAAGAAGAGTGCGAGTGCGGCTCAGGTAGGTCCGCGGTCGGGTTTTATTCGCAGAGGAATCCATGAGAACATCAAACTTGGAAAGAGTTTTCTACCTGCAGATCCTTCGACCTGGCCAGTCGATTCCAGCCGCGAAATGAGGAAGAAGGTGAGAGAGCCAGGTGGACAAGGGAAAAAAAGGAAATCTGGAAAAGGGCTTAAAGACCCCCTCCGGGTTGGATCGATGACGTCTATCGAAATTACGCAACCCCTTGAACTTCGTTCTTAACCATCCCCCCCTCTCCGTTTTCAGAGTTTTTGTATTACCTCTCCCAGGATATTTCCTTCTTTTACCTATTTTTACCACGGAGTTCTGTGGCGTCGTTTAACGAGATGGATGTGCCCCGGCACCGTCGATGAAAAATGACTATCCTCCCATGATAATTTAGGAGAGGACCGAACCTTGTGGGAAAGTGCCTTCAGAATTATTTTCGGGCAAGCAGACGGGTTATTTAATTGAGTCAGAACTTTTCTAGAATTTCTTTCCCGAATTTTAGAGAAGAATAAATAAAACCGGAATAAACTGTTTTAATAAGAAGCGATTGAGAAACAACGAATTCTTAGGGAACATTAATATCCGCAAGGGAATAATCCACAGAAACGGTCGAATTCCTTCGGAGAAAAAACCGCCTCTCCCCCCTTATCAATATATTCGTGGCTGTTAAAAAAGCTGGATACAAAGTGTCCCGAAGTTTCGGGGGATAAAAAACCGGAGGTGGAAGAAAACGAAAAGGAAGAGGGATCTCTCTGGAAATGATTTCGTACACGTTTCAGCGGTAAATGGATTCTATACGAGGATACAGTTTTCGGGGGACGGCGTGGGGGCGCATCGCATGCGCGGGCCGCGTTATACGCTTGTACGTATATCCCGGGGCCGGATCCTTAAATTGACTCGATTTTTAAGGTCCAGCCGGAGAGCGGAGGCCGCGCCGCGGGGATTCTGTGTTCCTCTTCCCATCCGCGACGTCCTCCTTTTCATCTTTGCTCCACATCGGTACCGGCCCGATTGATAAAAATCAAACACACCGGCGGGCCAGGCGGGAGTGGCGGAGGGACGCGGGCTCGGGCCCGGGGAACCCGCGGGTGGTTTAGGGGGTTGCTCGCTGAAATCGAAACGTCCGGGAAAGTAATCGACGCAATTAACGCGCGGGAAGATTTACGAATGAAAATTTACCTCCGCGGATCCCATCAACGAAATCCCGTTACGAGTGTTATGTGTAAAGCGAATCGTGCGATTGATCAACTCGTAACGCTGAAGAAAACCAATGCTCGTCGTTCGTTTCTAGAATATGATCTGGTAATCAGCAGTCAACCCGAACAAAACTTTCTGGTGTTTGGTGTGCATGCGCGAAGTTGGAAGAAACAACTGACTTGAGAAAATACAAGCCTAAAAAGTCTGGTATTTTTGACGTTTTTTAGAACATATTTCGATATTTTTCGATATTTTCACAAAAAAAAATTTGTCGAGATTTTTCCAAGGGGTACCCCTTCAGATTTTGCGAAATTTTCGTTTTTTGCCAATAACTCTTAAACCGTTGGTCCTACAGGAAAATTGCGTAGAATCTTTCTTGTAGAGGACGACGAGATCTACAATTTCTGTATAAAAAGTTTTCGCTAGCGACAATAGTTAATGAGTAATTTGCAAAAAACTGTTTATTCGTTTTTCGTTAATAACTCATTATCTAGTAACGCTAGCGACAAATTTTTATACAGAAATTGTAGATCTCTTCGTCCTCTATAAAAAAGGTCGTATGCAATTTTCTCGTAGGTTCAACTGTTTAGGAGTATTTGAGGAAATACGAAATTTTTTGCCAAAAGTTCACCATTTCGAGGGTGAGACGGTCGGATTTCGTCAATGCCAATAAAATGCCAATTAACTGTACTTAACTTGTTAAATACTGGAGTTAGAAGAAAAATGCATAGAACCTTTCTTGTAAAGTATGTCAGTGCCTACAACTTCTGTATAAGATTTTCGAATTAAATGTATCCTTCACTATTGTAATAATTAAAGAGACATGACTTATAAAAAACGTACGGTATTTATACGACGTATCAATTCAAGGATGCGATTGCTATTAGAGTCAGAGCAATCACACGAATTGAAACGCGGAACGAAGATCCGTGACGATGACATTCGACCCTGTCACCTCGCCGAGAAAAAGAAATACCCTTAAACCAGATCGTTGGTCCCGTTTTCAGTGAGATACTTAAGCCTTTAAATGGTCCGAGGGAAGCAGGCGTCTCTGATTTCAGCCAGGAAAAATCGGTTAACCCCTGTGGATCGAGTCACGATCGTGGGGTCGGCCGCGATTTTTCTCAGGGGTTAAATCGAGCGTGGCCCCCAAAAATTCGCGTCCTCTCCGTTTTTTTTTCATTCTCATTTCTCTCGACGAGTTCGCAGGTAGCCGAGCGAGCGGCTACCTGCACGCGCGCGTACGTCTGCCAGTAACCCGGAAAAAAGGAATGAAATAAGAGCGTAGAGGGGTGGAAAATAAAAAAGAAAGATTACGCAAGGTAGGGGAAAGAAAAACATGCAGTCGTTCACCCCTGGACCCTGAAGGAACGCAGCCCTCCTCCTCGTACCCTTCGCCTCTCTCGACGGTCTATCGGGGGTAAGAAAACAGGGTAAAAGTGAGTTAATAGTCGGTAAAACGGTATTCACCCCGTGACCCGACGGGTTCGCCGGCTCCTTTACGACTGCGACGCCTCCCTCTCTCTTTCTGGCCTCCTTTCCTTCCTCTTTTCTCACCATCCCGGTGCGGTCGCTTCCGGAAAGGGGTCGAGCCGAACGGGATACGAGGGTTGCCGGCAGGGATCATCGTTTCCCTTCACGGGGATGGAAAACCGAGACACGAGACACTCCTTTCGCTGAGAAATCTGAGTAATCGTTTCGGGTACTATCGTCGAGTACATCCGGAAGGGAATTTCGAGTTTTTTCAAAGGACAGGAGAGCCTCTCGGATAGCAGCGTGAGAGAAAATCGTCCGGAATTCGCGAATTTATCGGTTGATCTATCGTGACTCGCCAGATCCTGCCTTCTGTTCATTACACTTTTCAACGGTTTTTTACCAGCCTATTGTGTACAGAATTTTTATATAGCTATCATGAAACTGAAATATTGTTGTGATATTGAAATACGTATTTTATATAAAGTTCACATTATATTCAAATTAATATCCTCGAAATTAACATTATTTCAACTTTAAAGTATTCTTAAGTCACGTATTGAGAATTATACAAGATTACGAAATTCTGTCATTGTTGCATTAATATTTTTTCATGAATGAAATCAAGATTCTGTCATTCGACATAAGAACCCAAGATGTAATAACTTTTTAATATGCTCGCAAAATTTCTAAAATTTTGTACAGTGTTTTACTAATGTAATAGCTAGTCACTGTGAAAATTTCAATGCTTCGTCACTGATTTTATGTAAGGATTCATACAACCTTAATTTATGCTATCGACTAGCTTTGAACGAGCCAACCAGAATGAAGTTATACCGTGACGGAATAACATCGTAAGATTCATGATTTTTTATCATCATTTCTAATTATCAGTTAATACCTGTAACATTGATTTTCAACTACCTTAATTAATATTGAGAAAGAATGACAAGACAACAGCAGACAGTGACAGACAACATATATAAATAAATCTTTACGTTGGAAATGTTATACTTTCTTAAATTAAAACGAATGCGATGAGAAATTAATATAAGAAGATCGTTCAGTACGAATGAGAA